ATGATAGCTTCATGAAGGCAGCGGAGGTTGCTGGTTACATCGTGACAGAGTGGGAAGACTGTCTGAAATGTGCTTCAGTCATTGATATGTCATATGCTATACGAAGTCTGTGCGCTAATATTCTTCTGTACTGCAAGCCAACAAATCCCATATATTTGTGGGAGCAATTCAAGAATGCGATGAGAAACCGTCGGCGGAACTGCAACGAATCAGCTAATCTCGATTTACGCCCATTGAATCACATCAAAACCATCTTGGGAAACAATGGTGCATCTTTGGAAGATTTTGAGTTGAGGAATATCAAGGAGGCTCTCTTACTTGATTGTGATGATGACTTCATCAACAGAGCAAGTCCCGAGATTAAACAACAGACTGATAATATCGCAGAAAGCTTAACGCTTGCCCAAAAACGTGTTGCTAACGCAGTCATCGCGGCATCTAGACGTCGCAAAGGAGATGGTAATAAGCTCTTTTACATAGATGGGAAGGCAGATCTGGCAAAACTCATACAATCAGACCGTTAATTATGTTATCGGAAGCTGATGGCAAATGAGTCTTAGCGACGGCATCCAACGGCATTGCTGCTACGCTGTTGAAACATGGGAGAACTGAGCGTAGTCTGTTTTGCCTCCCTATCAAGCAACTTCATAGCTGGTCTACTGCTAATATCGACGCATCGTCGCCTATCGGTCAAGCTTTAAATACCGTTGATGTCAAGGATGTCTAGGATGAAATTTCGATGCAGTCCCGATTTGCTTTGGAATGCGTCGCGGGTTGCTACACCATCTGTTGTTCAAGCTCTCTTTGGTGGTGTAACCATTGTTTTGGGTGGAGATTGGTGCTAATTTTTACCTGTCATACAAGGTGCAACACGTTAGCAGGTAATAAATTCCACATGCAAGTAATCACTAAAAATATTTTAACACCTACACTCTTGAGGAGATTTGAGGATGAGCGATGAGGATGAAGGATACGCAAAACGGCTTCTTTTTGTGGTTACTGGTCAGAACTTCTATAATGGCGATAACATCTTGTTACCTTCATGTGCATGACTACCG